TGGACAAACTTGACAAGGGCCATTCTGATGGACTGATGGGTGAGGGTGGAAGTCTGATGGGACATGAGAAAGAAAAGAAAGCAACTGTGCAGGAGTCTTAAGAAGTTTGGTGAAACAAGTAAATTAAAAGTGAGGTATTTGGTACAAGGAGGGGTGGTGATGAAAATGCTGCAGGAGAGAGAGAGAGAGAGAGAGAGAGAGAGAGAGAGAGAGAGAGACTACTAGGGAAGGAGCAAAGTCCTGGAGCACAAATGGGGATTGTCTTTTTATATGAGTAGGACACTAACTCCATTGTAATAGGCGGGGAAAATGGGTGTGCGTACAGGTGGATGTGTAGGTTTCGCAGAGGAAGAAGAGTGGATTCGAGATTGATGACTTGTTTTCTCAGTAAACAATAGGATTAGATCACCAACGAGGAATGAGAAGGAAAGAGGAGGTGTGGGAGGTTTGAGGACAAAGAAGGTATGGAATAGTAATGCAGTCTAATGAGAGGGGACGCCTGTCAAAGAATCAGGATTGTAAAGCTGCAGGAGATGTTACTCTATGATTGAGATCCTGTGCTTAAAATGAAAAAGTCAACTCACTTGAATCATCTGTTTAGTTGTTTGTGTGCAGACAGAGCTGGAGGGTGAGAGATTTGGGATATGTAAGTGGGATAGCAGGGCCAGGAGGCCCAAGGTAGTCACCAAGAGGTGACTAGAGTAGGACTTGGAAAGCCTGATTAGATAAGGAGGGACCTGAAGCTAACAGCCAGTGAGAAAGTGGTGGGAGTCCAAAAAAAACTCATGGGAGTTTTGATGAAGGGGAGGAATTGCAACAATTCCTTAATGACTTAAGCTCGTGAGCTGGGATGATAAAGAGGAAGTAAAAAGGAGGGAGCCAAGGTGCTGCCATGCTGGGTTATGCTAAGGAAGGGGGTGGCTGAGGGGGAGTGGGGAGGATGGGGGTCTGGGGACTAAGAATTGGGTGTCAAGTGCCTCACCTATGTGGTCATTGAGGTTACTGTGAACACCCTCAGAATCGGAGAAGTCTGCGGCCAGGCTTCCGTGGCCAGAATATGAGTCTTCAGTAAAAGTGGGGACATTATTAAGACAGAGGTCAGTACATGGCACGTGGAGAACAAAGGGAGGGCATATAAGCAGATCCCATGTGTCTGAAAAGGCTGAGGTTTTGTGCAAGCTGGAGGCGATAATGGTCCAGAAAGTGGCCAGAGAGCAAAGAGGAGATGTGCCCCAACACAGATGAAGGGGTCTGACTTCAAACGCAAATAAAAAGAAACATCATTCTAAAAGCAATGAAATGCTAGTGTACACAACAATAAAAAATTAGAGTAGCAAAGAAAGAAAGAAAGGAAAAAGCATAAAGATGCTAAAAGTACAAGCTGTTTGTCATGGACTTATTCGTGCGGGGCTGTAGGGGCTGTGCTCTGACATGACTAAGCAGCGCTCCGGAGAGGAGCTCCTCAGTAAACATGAGCTCGGAAAAGGCAAGAGACGGTGAAAATAAATGTTAACAGTGTGAAACGTTAAAAAATTCTTCACTTGTCTGGGCTGAAAATAACAACTAGCTTTGCTAACCTCTCATTATCCCCCAGCCCCCTGACAGTCCAGAAAGGATAATAAAAACAGTGTTAATCATTTTATTGCTGTAAACATAACTCTTTGGAAACTACAAACCAACTTAAAAGAGCCAACAGATGACCAAGCAAGGAACTGGTACCCAAATAATCCACAAACGTTTATGTTGAAACTGGAAGGCAAGCACCTTGTTTTAAGCAATATTAAGGATCAACATTAGAGTTTTAAAATATTTGTAAAATAGCAAAAGAAAAACTAGTTAGACTAAGTACAGCTTAATGGTGAAGTGTGTAGTAATTCTAATATAACTACGTGGAGAGACTGTAGGTAAATGATAGATGACTGTGTTAAACGTATTTGATGGCTAACAGGTTGGTTCACTCATACTTCTGTGCTAACACAAATTGAATAACCTGGAACTGGGAGACAGATTCTGTTTCCTGGGTGCTAGTAATCTAGGTGGACTGTGTACTCCGTGCAATGTGAAGCAGGTCTTAGAAATACTAAAAATCCCAAAAAGGTTGGAACTTATTAAATGGGCATGAGAAAATGAGGCAGTACTTTTAAAAGTTTATTGGGGTTTCAAATGTCTTTCCCAAATAGCTATGGCCATTTTAGCCAATGATCATTACACCTTTAACCTCCTACTAAATTGGCTGACATTCAAATGTTGATGTAAATCCAGAAATGAATTGTGTACATAATTAAAAACATCGAGTCAGAGTGAATATGTAATTTTTGAAGCTCTATAATTAAAATTCTGTCAGAACATTACTTGAATGAAGATTATGAGACTAAGGACTTTATACATGAATATAAAGCATGTTCTGATGAAGACCAATACATAGCCCTAAATACAGACTTTTTTTTTCTATAAATGTTTCAGGGCAAATACAGTTAGATCAAGTAACCTATTGGTTAATGATATGTAGCAGATATATTTGGAATTCAATGTCAAAATAGCTCAGGATGGTATTTTGGTTGATATTAAATAATCAAATAAATACTTATAATGCACTAATTTTTGTCCCCAAGGACTGTCTCTGTAGAAGTCAGATACTTTGTAAACTTTAAACGCTGTTTTGAACTATGTATACATAATATTTAAATCATTATTTCTTCCTTTTTGTTAAGACAGATTGATCTGAGATCCAGCTTGTGATGTGGATTTGAATGATGATTATTCCCTTATAAAATAAAGTCTACTTCTTAGGTCTATGGGACAACCTAAGGTCTATGGTTCAGAATAAAGCACCTAAAGGGAAGACTGGAATTCTCCCCCAAAGGCTGTTCATTGAAAATAACATGCCTTCAAAGGACTGTTAGAATGGTTGAGGTCTTAAAAGGCAATTTTAAAAATTTAGGAATAAAAAGAATATCAATGTGTAATCCTAAAAAAGAACCCCCCCCCAAAAAACCCCCAAAACAATTGAATTTGAAAGTATCTTCCTAGAAAGATTGATGAAGAATACTGCTATTTTTTCTTGTATTTCCATGGTTTTGTGTAACTGATGGATCTTAATATCAACAGTTATTAAAGATGGTCACTCTGGCATTTGTTAGAAACCTAAAAAACATACCTGAAGATACCAGGAGTCTCAAGAAAACACTTTTTTATGACATGTCATATCAAAGGAACAAGTAAACTACTTGTGACCACTCCCTTTAATTTATTAACTAATAATTGATTAATAATTATTTTTTTCTTCAAACTCCTGGGTCCAAGTATACTCAAGTATATTTGAATAAATGCCCTTTGACTTTATTTCTGGAAAAATGATCCATCATTAATGGAACCCCCAAATGGGAGAAAGAAATAAAAGAAAGACTCCCAGTGAATGACTTTATTTACACCTCTGCATTTGGCATGCTACAGAACATCACAATTTTACCAGTACATAGTCAACAGAGTTCAAATAAGATGTATATTGTGGCTTTGAAAATATTGACATCATCTGCTATAGCATAGAGCAGAACAGCTATAGGTAAAATAATTCATTCCCCAACCCCTTTTGACAAGTGTTAGAAGTTGAATATTCTTTGATCTGTAAAACCTTGGGAAACTTGAATAATGGGGGTAATAATCCTTACAAGATGTTGTCATATCCAGTTTTACTTTATTGAACTCATATTCTCACTGGATTTAGAAATGAAAAAAAAAAGTTCCTTTACCATGCAATAGTAAATTTACTTCTGGCTAACAATACTTTGATTCTATTTACAGACTTTTAACCAGGTAATACTGTATAGCAAACACACAGAAATGTACATTACTAAAATTTGAAGCTAGAAAAATATGCCATAGGATATAATTTGGAATCTATAAATTGGAGCATGTATAAACCAAGACCATATTGACAAATCAAATCAGAAATGTAAAGTTTATGCTTGTGCGAAGTCAGTTGGCAGTGGCATAGAATAATGAAATGGGATTGTCTAGTACAATTTCATTTGTGTTAACACAATATCATCGACTCTGTTAAAAGTTCCTACTTGATCCCTTCAAAATAGCAGCAGAGGGCTGTTCAAAAAAAGTAGTAAATTCAATTCAAACTAACAGTGCAGTATTACTTGACTGAACAATTCTAACTTACCCCAGCAAACATTTTACATGTTCTAAACACTTTTTAAGGATAACCTTTAAAAAATTCCCCCAAAGCTTAACCATACAGCTCAGCTTAAGTAAACCATTTTAACTGAGGAGCTGTATAGTAGAGAGCTGAATATAAATGAATAACACTTAACTAAACACACAATCTGAGAATACAGCACAGTTCCCGTCTGCTTCCTGGGAAGGTGACCTGCCGCTAGAGAGGACAACCGTGCCTCGTGTTCCCTGCTTCAATCTGAGAAGCACACTTGGCAGTTTTCCTTTCTTAAGTCAGAGCTGCAGCAGGAAAGGGAGACATGGGTGTGAAATCCTGCAACCTCCCCAGTAGGCGGTATCAGTCACTATTGCATCTACACTAAACACACACTAGAAGCAGGAAAGTCTTGACAGAATTCTAGCTGCAGCCCCATCTCAAGATTCAGACTCAGAGCAAATGGGTCAGTTTACCCCAAATGGACCTCGTCCTGTGGCCACTCTCTATGGAACTTCCCTCCCAGAAAACAGTCCCTAATCTCCAGGTTGTCTGACCCAGTGCAGTTATTAAGGTCGGAGCGCTTGGTGGCTTGTGGACTTGGCTATGGTGCCAGATTCTTGTTTCTTTAATGGTTAACCATGGTCTGACTATGTGGTTGGATTTTTATTTATATTATCTATGAAACTGACAGGGCATTTGGCACAAATTTCAAACTCTTCCCACATACATGAACACATAGTGCATGTTTAGTTCTTTTTAAATATTGCAGGAAGTGGATAGCAAATCAAAAAATAGCAAGAGATTGATGCCAACTGCCATGTGAAGGCCAGCACTTTTACCTGGCTGAGTTTTCTTTCTTCCACATGCTGGAGGTGCACTGCAGGCCACACAGCAGCAAAGAGAATGCTGCCTCGTGACTCCACTGGGACTAATACAAGAAGAGAATGAACCCAGGCTAAGGAGACCTCTTGCCCAACAACCCGTTTCCATCTGTTTTCCTCCTTGTGGTTGGAGGAAACTGTGTTCCACACTTTCCTTAGCACCTGGTTGCGCATCACAAATCCCACTGTCAGCTTTTTGGGGGTGGGAATTGGAGCTGACTCTCAATCCCTGAGGAAAAGTGTGCTGGGACCCTGGCTACTTAGTATATTGCACGGTACTGTACTTGGTGATTCGACTTCGGGCTGTGCTCGGGGAAGTGGATCCAAGGGTCTGGCTAAAGTGATGGTCAGAGGAGCTCCTCATATGGCCGATGGTGGCTGTCCCCCCCATGCTGCTACTCAGGCCTCCGCCTCCTCCCAGGCTGCTCAGCCCGATGCCACCACCACCTATTCCAGCTTCACTGCCAACCAGGCCACTGCCGACTGTGCCACTGCCACCAATGATCCCCGCTGGGCCACTAAATCCAGTTACGCCAGAGCCAGACACAACCCTCTCGGTCACAATCACGTTGTGGGCGTTGGATAGGTCGGGGTGCACACTCAGGCCGCCCATCATGCCAGAAGTTGGCCGGATTACCCTTTCTGTCACTACCACGTTGGAAGACTCTCTGGGATCGGGGATGGTCAAAGTGGTGGGTAGACTTGAACCTGGAGCTATTATCCTTTCTGTCACTATGACGTTTGACCCCTCTCTTAGGTCAGGCATCTCTAGCATCCCATGCAAGTCGGCACCAGAGATGGGGCCGACCACCCTCTCTGTCACCACCACGTTGGAGGCGTGCCGATTGTCATGGATGTGGACAGAGGGCTTCAGAGTGCCAGCGGTGGCGTAGGACTCAGTCACAGTGACATTACCATAGCCCAGGGGGTCAGGGATAGGAATGGACATAGGATGCTGAACACCAGGCCCAGAGGGGTAGGCACTCTCAGAGATGACCGTAGTCGTGCCATAGCAGGGGGAGATGGGTGGGCGTCCGCTAGCAACGGGCTCTGTTCCCTGCTGAGGGTAAATCGGTTCAGTGCTCTCAGGCCAAGGGAGATCAAAATCTGGATATGATTCGACATTTTTCCCCAGGCTGATATCTGCCAGCTTCTTAAATTTAGGCCCCAGTGTATCCAAGAAACTGTCATCAAAGTCTTCTCCAATGAAGCTACAACAGCCCACAGAGCCAGCGGGGGAACCCACACCTTCAATATCATATATGAGCAGACAGTCATTGGACGGGCGCCCTTCGTCTTCATCGGCATAAGCATATGCTTTCTAAATTTGCAGAGGGGAGAGAAAACAAAGTCATGAATACATATTTAACAACAGTAGAAGTCTTTACCTTAAGTTTTTCTTACAGGGCATTACCAAAGAAAAATAGAAAAAACAAAATTCTAACATCTACTAGAGGTGTTCTAAAAATCATATAACCACATGAAAGAATTTGCTTAGAAGTTATTTTAACTGTAGTAATTCCAATAATATACTTTGATTTTTAAAATTTATTTAAGTGGACTTTATAATGGTGTACTTTGGACACAAAAGCACACACACAAAAAAATCACATGAATTATTTTGTAACCAAGTTAGGAGGAGGTACTTAAAAATGCTGAATTTGGAGTACACAAAATTGTGCTTTTTTTAGGTTTATTTGTACAAGTGGGATTGGTAGGAAAGAGTAGTTAGAGACGTGAAAACAGGGGTCCATCTGTGAATAAGCTTATTTGCCATGTGAAGGGATTTAGACTTCATGCCATAGGCAAAACACAGCTGGGGGCCAGTGGCTGTTCCTGAGTGGGGGAGCAGCAGGCCTCAGTGAGAGGGTTAGCTATAGTGTTAGCAACGCCATCACGCATGGAGGCTGAGAGCCTGGCGAGGAGATGCCGGCCAAAGCCCCCGGGGAACAGTGGGAGCCTGGGGTACAGCAGTGGGTGCTAGACGGGGAGGAAGGCCTGGGACAGAGCCCTTACCTGGCAGAAGTAACTTTCCATAAAGTCCATGTTCAGACCTTCTCTACATTCCCTCATAGAATTTCTTCTTAATGTTCCAGAATATTCTTGGCAGATCTCAGGTGCTCCTGATGATTTAACTCCATCCGCTAGTTCAAATCCTGTCATTCTTTCTTCTCCTTCCATCTCTTGCATTTCTCTGCCACCATACTCATTTGTATAAACCCCTGAAAGTGAAGGTCAAGTTAAATTTACTTTATCTAGTGTGCTGTAGACTAAAAATCAGTACCTTACTTTTATGTATGGTTCTTCATTTAAGTATGCGTTTGTGAGCAAAGGAAAAGGTAAAAAAGAAAGTGATACTTCAATACAGGAACTATAAATATATTCAGTTTAAAATAATAGTATCAATTAATTTGGTGACTTGGTAATTATTAATTATTTGTTGGTAACTATATGTTGAGCTAGAAGCCAAAATAATAGTATCGATTAATTTGGTAACTTGGTAACTATTGTTAATTATTTGTTGGTAACTATATGTTGAGCTAGAAGCAAGGGGCTGCATAGTGGTTACAAAAACCTGTGCTTGACATTTTTATTTAAAATTTTTTTCAAGTACAGTTTACATTCAATATTATTTTGTATTGGTTTCTGCTGTACAACATATTGATTAGATTTACAGGGCTCCCCCTGATATTTCCAGTACCCAACTGGCACCATACATAGTTCTTAAGAGGACTTTGATTTTAAATTAACAAAAATTGGGGGGAAATGACCAAATTCTAAATGTGAAATGGTATAAGAACACCCCAATGTACTATATTAGAAGCACAGGGCCCCAGGAGAAGCCCAAGCTGTACAACATATTGATTAGATTTACAGTGCTCCCCCTGATATTTCCAGTACCCAACTGGCACCATACATAGTTCTTAAGAGGACTTTGATTTTAAATTAACAAAAATTGGGGGGAAATGACCAAATTCTAAATGTGAAATGGTATAAGAACACCCCAATGTACTATATTAGAAGCACAGGGCCCCAGGAGAAGCCCAAGGACCACGCTTTCAGAGAAGCCATGGCGACGGCGAGGGGAAAGGTCTGCCTGGGAGGCTTGAATTTGCACGTGGATGTGAGGGTGAATGGAAGCCTCGCAGTATTCTCAGCAGGGGAGGTAAAGCCATGGCCTGGATTGTGGAGGTGCCATGGACAGGGCCAGTGCTGACATGGTAGGTGTCCCATGCTTTCCTATTTTAAATATCGTGATTTTAGGGACAGTGCGTTTTCAGACGTCTATTACTTTGGTGTCTCTCACTGTGCTTTGTGGAGGTCTGTATAAATATTTGTAGACTTAATGAGAGTCTCAGTGTATAAATAAAGCCTCCTGGATTGACAAGTCTTAGAAATGATTGGATATCAATGAGTAGAAAGATGTAAAAGTTTCTACTTTTGGCGTGGGAGGGGGGGCGATGTTGGTGTTGTTAACAACAATGGATGCATGAGGAGGAGATATGGTTTTAAACACTAGCATGTCCATGCTTTGCGTAAGGTCCAGTTCTACAAGTTATAAATATTCCTGTGCTGCTTCCATTTTAAAGAGTCAACGTGGAAAAGTCATGATTACAAGTTTGAGAAAGGCTGAGAGAAAAATAAGAGAATATGTATTTACCTTGAAAAAAAGAAAAGATGGCACAACTCTTTTCAAAGATAAGAGGTTTCTAAAAGTCAGTTGTTCTTTTCATTGGAGTCACAGTTATTCGCGTACTGTGAAACGCTCATTCTCCCTGGGTTCTGCCTGGGAACTGGTCTAGACCTCTGTTGTAGGGCCGGTTGTACTGATAGTCTCACCCATGTGCCTGGACAAACTCCACCACGTGCACACGCCTCAGAGGAGAGCGTTAAAAGGTGTTGATAGTGTCTCATCCACTTGCTTTCAATCTGAGAAACTGGACAAACCTTTTCAGGTCAACCTTTAGGCTGATGCTGAGAATGGATGCAGTTTTTAGTTTTGTCATGATGACAGCTGAAGCCAGCATGATTCTGAACCATTCATGAATTGTGGAGGTGGAATCTAGTCTCAATAAATGAGCACAGATCTATTTTAATAGAGTTGTTCTTTTATTCTAATTAGCATTTTTGGGGGTACATAAGATTTGCTTTACTGGACAAAAAATAAACCACAAAAACCCACGCCCAAAATAGACTTGTGGTTGCAATTCAATTATTCTTTTCTACTTATAGACATCCTAATCAGGCCATTTCCTAAGTACTCTCTGATGATTGAAGAAGATGTAAAAAATTCAACACATAAGAATAACAATTACTGTAGGTTTTCCCTTTTCATCTAATATGTAAATTAGTCATTTTAAAAGGAATAATAGAAACAATTTTAAAGACAGATATAATAATTGAGAAACAGTGAGGTATGCAAAGAGAGAACACAATTCCTTCTGAGTCATTTGAGTTGTTAAAATAAAAGGAAATTGTACCTGAAGTGTCAACACATTGGATTATATTCCCTCCTGGTGGAATTTGTGGTACAGGGATGGTGTGGATAATCTAAAAGACAAGAAACATCATCTTTCCATTTGTAACGACTCTTTTCTTTCTCTAGTTACACACTGGGTTAGCTCTCAAATTGCCTCCGATGCTCTGAAACAATGTTACTGAGGAAACTTTTGAAATCCATGTAAAACAGGAACTGCATTCAGAAAGCCTTCCCTGGTTGGTCCATCTAATTTGCAGGTACCTCTGCTTTCTCTCCATTGCCCCCCGTGGCTAGCATGCAGAAGACTGAGTTTAGGTGACTACCACAGGTCATTTCTTACCGATTGGCACTTACCCCAGTCTCAGGCCCTGGTCCTTCCACTGCCCACGGATGAATTGCCCCTTCTGAACATTCAGGAACAGGCTCGAAGCCGGCTCCGCCACCCGGGGCACCTCCACAGTCACAGCAGATCAATAAGAACGGGACCACTGGGGGTGACAGGAGAGGGATATTGGAATGAGCAGAGGGGCCACAAAAGAAAAACTTGCTTTTTGTGATTAAATTTGAATCCCTAATATAACCCCATTTGATCCTAAAATTATTATGGAGGTTATAGAAAATAAACTGTATAATGGTGAGATACTACAATCAATGTGCGCTTCAGTATACTAGATTGCAATAAATTTTAATTTGTTATTTCAGATTCAGGTTACAAATAGTATTGTACTGTGAACACAGATGATTCTTCTCCCTGTTACTCAGGAAAATAGGGAAAGAGAGAAAAAAGAAAGCTGGTAGGCCAGTCCACATGTTTGGTGTTTTGTCTTTATTTTTCTCCTTTCACACATGCCTGCCTTTTTATTTCAGCAGTAACATCTTGTTCATGCTTCAAGCAATTATCCTCTTTGAGGCTCTTATTTGCCCTTCAATATCTTTTCTTGAAATTACTCAGGCACAAATAGAGAACCTTACGCTGCTTCACACTGTCTTTTACTCTCAATCAATTAGAAGTTTCTAGCCCAGAGCTTCTTACATAATATGATCTTAAATAGCGATTTGGAATGAATGGGTGGATGAAGAAAAGGATGTGTAAATTTTTTAAACAATAAAGAAGGAGGGAAAGAAAAAAGGAAGAGGGCAGGTGGGTAGGGGAATGGAGTAAGGATAGTGATGAGAGAGAGGGAAATGCTGGGCCAGCCCGGGTTCCAGAGACATGAGGGAAAGTCTGTGCACTCTCCTCGGACCCGCCACCGGGAGGACAGTATGTTGTGTCCCGAATGTGTTCAAAGGAACAGGCGTTAATGAAAAGCTCCACACACAGGCATTCCCTGTAGGCCAGTGGTTCTCAACCTTCCTAATGCCGCGACCCTTTAATACAGTTCCTCATGTTGTGGTGACCCCCAATTTCATTGTTACAAATTGAACATAATTAAAGCATAGTGATTAATCACAAAAACAATTTGTAATTATATATGTGTTTTCCGATGGTCTTAGGCGACCCCTGTGAAAGGGTCGTTCGACCCCCAAAGGGGTCGCGACCCACAGGTTGAGAACCGCTGCTGTAGGCTTTCCTGGCCATTCCAATCAATTGTTTCTCATTGGTTTCTCTGCTCCAATAGCAGTGGGACCTGCCTATTATGGGGCTTCCCATCACATTGAGATTGAATGTGAAAGAAGTTTTTATCTTCCACTGCCAAGCAATTGGCTTTTTAAAAATCTCATAAATCCAGCACTAGACGTAGAAGTATCTTTATAATTGAACACAATAAGAATTGTTAAAATACATTTTATCAAAAGATCAGAAAATGTCTCCCAATTTTTGGGGGGGGGTAGGGGGCACCTGCAGATTGGCTGTTAAAGTACTTACATCCTAGGACCAAGAATCCCATGACGAGCAGTCCAATGCCAGCGGGACCAAAATGTACATTATCTGGAAACATGGGCACGCCTATGGGTTCTTTATAGTCGTCTGTTATACCTCCATCGACATTGCCATTGCCATTGCCATTGCCATTGTTGCTTTGTGTGTTGACAGTGACTTCACCAGTAGTAAGTTCACCTGTACCACCACCAGTACCAGTTCCACCTCCACTGTCGGTGTTATATTTTGGAGTGGTTTCGGAAGTTTTCCAGCCAGAACCTTGAAGATCAATATTAATTGTACCAGTACAAGTTCTTTGAAGACCATCTGTAACAAGGTTCAAAATGGAAGAAATCGTTCATAAATTTAGTGTAGTCATTGTTGGGCAATACGAACTATTTCCTTTTTGCATCAATAGTTATTTCAATGTCTTTATCCCATTCACTCAGTAACTTCCCCAGTTCTCCCTTGTCCGTGACTCCTTTTGTAAATCAAACTGTTATGACGGTTAGTGCTCCTGAAAAACTGTCTCGTGTAGAGAAGCGTAGACAGTAAACACCACCTTGTATCTGCATCGGCCAGTGCTGCGTTATAAGCTCTGGGGAGGCATTCCTAGACTACTCTTTTTTTTTTTTTTTTTTGCACATTTCTTATATGAGAGCTAGATTTTTTTATTTTTTATTTTTATTTTTTTGGTGGTTGTTTTATTGTCTTTCTTTTTCAATTATGTTTGTGCTTTTCCTTTTATGGGCTGACAAAATGAACAGATTGGGAGCAGGTTAGTAAATCATTTCTACAAAAATTTCTTAGTGAGAAAGCAGCATATTCCCAGCCACCAACCCCTCACGGGAGAGAGAACTGGTGCTGTTGGAGGTGAGGAAATTTTCATTTCAATAAGAAGGTGAAATACGTTTGTTTCACAAGCAGATATTCCAGTGTGCTTTCTTCTTGTCCTTCAAAGTTTCAGTAAGTTACTGTGTTCCTTGACTAAACACAGGGGTAGGGAGATTTGTTATTTGTTTCAACTTAATTGCTCTACTCTTGCCGTTTATTTCATTTAACCAACCAACCAACCAACCAACCAACCAACCAACCAACCAGTATTTCAAAACAATGGACTAATTTTTGAGTGCATTTGATACAAAAGGTGGTGCATCAGAACCCAGCAGCATTTTCATCGGCAGGTGCCTGGGGCTGAGCTAGAGCTGTAGTAATGACTACAGAAGGGCGCAGGGTCGCTCTGTGGTGATGAGTATGTCTTCTATCTCCTTTGTGGCAGTGTATGTATTAATACATCTGTCAATGCCTATTATCGATATTGCTTTTGATATTTATTATAGATAATGCTATAAGGAACATCAATGTGCATTCAGCCTTTTATATTTAGGGATTTTCCTAAGGTTATTGAAAACTGGGTAAAAATAAAGGAATGATTTTGTTTGACATTATTGTTCTTATCTCAATTACGTAAATGTAAGCTCTGTTGTCAGACTTTGTCCATTGATGTAACCCTAGAACCCAGTACAATGGCTGACATTTGGTTAGGATTCAATATATAGATTCTGAGTAAATGAATAAGAAAGTTCCTGGAAGAACATAACAGAGACAAGTTTAAATCCAATCTATGATATCAAATCCCATAATGTTATTGGCTTTGGTCTTATTTTTATCATTTTCATCTCCTGTGATATTTATCCCCCTTTTTGATGAGAAAAGGCATGCTTTCTGTTTGCGATAAGCCTAACAATGTTGTAAGCAAAGTTTCAATTTTCCCTTCATGTCTCCAGTGAAGCTTGATGTTGGATGTAAAACTGGAGTCAACTAGCAATTTACTTAAGGTCATTTCAGCACTGAATCAAAATAAGCTTTATCTTTAAATGGAATCACATTTCTGTTTGCAATATATATGTTTTAAAACTACTCTTATTTTGATTAATTGTGGAAAAAACATTATAATTTGGTAAAAATTCTGAATTGTTGAATGACTTTAAAGGAATGCTCTTTATTATTTTTTACACCTGCAAAGCAAGTGGAAATAGTCAACCTGTTTTTAGGATAATTGAATGAGGAAGAAAGAGAAGGAGAGGGAGGGAGAAAGCAACGGAAGTAGCAGGCTTTGCTTAGAAGAATTAGTCTCGAGGCGCTCTCCTCCTTTAGGGACCAGCCTAAATTAATTTTAAAAGTAATATAAGCATGCTACCTCCAAATTGCTCAAACAAAGTTGTGCATCAATTTTCCAAAGATTATATAAAGTTAAGTTAGCTTGGCTTCTGGCCTAACTATTTGAATATAATTTTATAATACATATAATTTAAAAATTGCAATTATTTACATTAATAAAGAACTAACATTTATTGAAAGTCTAAGTCAGGGGTGGGCAACCCCTGGCACGTGTGCCAAACATGGCACGCCAGTAACTTTTGCTGGCACGCGAAACCCTCTCTTATAATCTTCCATTTACAATTTTTTTCTTATTAAATCTTTATTGATTTTTCAGATAAATTCAGTGTAGGTGCATCTTAGATAAATAAATAAGATTTTTGTTGCCGAGTCAAAGGTCATACACATGGAAACTGTTGCTATTTCCATCTGCAACGTGTCCCTGTGCTCGGAAAGGTCTCTCACGACTTGTTCACGCTCTACTCAGAAAGGGTGCGGAGCCACGTTACGGCTTTTTAAAATAATGTGTCCTCTTATGTTTAAAATGAGGATTTCGCTACCAAAACTGAGGAGAAAGCAACACTACAGCTGCTCTCGCCCCTCTCGCCCTTCAGGTGATAGTTGTGCATGGGGCTGCAAGCTGGTTCGCGGGCCGTCGACATACAATTTTTTTCTTAATATCGACTTTTTTATTTTTCAGATAAATTCAGTGTAGGTGCATCTTAGATAAATAAATAATTTTACATAACATGTATACATTAAAAAAATAAATGTATTTTTCATCATCATATACTGTGTTTTTGTTGCTCGAATGAATTTTATTATTTCTTCAAGGTTCTTCACATACGTACATCTTAAGAGATAACAAGTAGGCGTAACATGTTCTCAAAAAATTAGGGTTGGCACGCAGAAGAATTTTGAGTCAGAGATTTGCTGGTTTTGGCATGCACTCACAAAAAGGTTGCCCACCCCTGGTCTAAGAGCTTTACATGTAGTAACTCCTTAAATCCATATTGTTATTGTTCCATTTTGCAGGAGAAAAGACTGAGGGGTAAACGGGTTAAATGACTTCTCTAAAATCCCATATCTAGTAAGTGATGGCACACGATACCAATCCAGTCTCACTCCAGAGCTCATGGTCTTATCCACTAAGTTATACTGCTTTTCCTATCATTAAAGACTTGATTCTGTAATGGCCAATATGATAACTTTTGTTGAAAAAAGCATTACTTTGAAATACAATTAATTAAAATATATATTGAAATTTTAGAAGGAAAAATGTTAAATTGATCTCTTACCGTCTATAGATAGAATTGTTCCTTGGTATTTTCCATTAAGCATATTATATTGTTCCATGGTAACTTGATTTCTCAAAGTAATAATGCCCGTTTTTGAGTCAACAGAGAGCAGGTCAGCTGGATTGTTTCCCATTACGTATCTGTATTTGAAAGATAATAGTATAAATTAATGTCAGCTATCTAAAAAGCAGAGAGAAAGAGAGAGATTTTATTTATAAAACATGTCTCTAGTCAGTAGTTAGAATCCCTGAATACAGTTTTCAGTTATTAGATACACTTTCTCCTTTTTTCAGGGCAGTCCCAGGTATTTGAAGACATTTGGAAACAGACAAAGCTGTCAATTTAAGAAAACAGAATGATTGAGCAGCTATTTCCGATGGAATGTCTCTTATGCCACTTGGTTGGCAGAATGATCCTTTGATGCTTGCGGTCTCATTTTCATTTGGTTTAGGAAGCATGGGAACTACTCTGGAAGACCCAAATCCTAGGACTTCCTGAGCTCATTAGCAATTCTAAATTATTCTCTTACCAAAGAACTTATGTCTTCATCAGCTTGGCCATCATCCCCTCCCTATTTCTACTCCCCTTCTCCACATAACTAAACAGGACTTTTGAATTCCAAACTGCGTAAGTCCTTTCCTGATACTTCTGTCCTGTTTTCTATTGTCTTCCTCTCCTCATCTTTCACTTCCATGTCTTCTTTTTCTCATTTACATTTGACAAAAGAAATACTGGTTAGCAAGTCTCTGTCTCAGGTGTGGTGCTAAACTCAGAGAATAGAACTTGGAGAGGACACAGGGGTGGTGTTGGGGTTGAGGGATGGGAGGTGACCTGTCCTCGGTGAACTACATCTGCGGGGTGAGAGTTTATCAGTAGTGGTGGACAGTGCGGTAAGAGCTGTAACACAAACACTCACCTAGTGTGAGAAGAATATGGAGAAAGCACTTTAAAATCTAATTTGTGAGATCTTTCCCCCTTTGTTACTCTTGGTCACAAGCACATGTTTAAAACACATGTGCACATATACACAGATTTTTTTTATGATCAAGTAGAAATATTTGGATATACAGAGTTTTAAAAAAATTATACAGCATGATTTTTTCTTTAAGTCATTTTTCATGCCAAAGTTATTATTGGCCAATACTAAGTGCTTATTACAGTGAAGAAAATAACTAAATCTAACTGGATTCAATCTGGGCAAATTTGCAATGGGAAAATTAGTCCATAAAATTCCAGAGTAAATTATCTTGGGATGTGGTAATCAGCTAATTGGTCCATAAAAGATATAAACATAGGAGTGTCAAAGTTTAAAGATACAATATTTTCACATTTTGCATCTTTATACTTTTACATCTTACATGTTGCACAATTTTTTATTTTTTGTAAGTTAAGCACTCTAAGTAATAATTCAGTAGCTGGTACTTTTTATGATTAAATGATGGCTTCAAAATAATGAAAAAATATTTAAATTCATACTTAAAATGTCAAAAAAGAGCATATGTACTTCATTCAATATGTGATGGAAATTCGTTGGAAAATATCAGTCTTACCTAACTTTTGTTGAAGGTCCTCCAGCGTCCAGGTCAGTAGCTATAAAATCTCCCACTCTATAATTCTGTCCCATGTTACTAGTTACTACGAATGTCTTTGAACCTGGACGGAACACTGAGCCTTCAATTACATTTAGCACAGTCACGGAGATTGCTGTCGCTGTGAGCTTATATTGAGACATAATTGATTGATGGAATTCAGCTTTATTTCTAACACCGATACTGAGTTGCAGATTCTTCATGGCTTCATAATCCAAGGGCTAGTAAATACAGAATGAAATAGTTTTACTACAAAAAGAAAAGAATTCTAGAAGAAAAAGAAATCCTTTGATAATAGGCAAATAAATGCTTATGCCTAGAAAGATGATATTAATTAAATATAAATACATACAACGTATTCTTACTTTAACTTCAATCTAATACAAACACATACAATATATATGGTGAGAAAAAAAATCCAATCTTGTATCCTTTGTTGAAAAAAATTGAAAATGTATGACACGAGTCCTCATTGTCCACCAAATTAAAAATTTAAAAATAATATAGATGGTCAAATCCTGGCATTTTGTAGTGCAAAGACAGTTTATGTTAGCTTGTATCATTTTGTGTTTTTCAGAAAGTAGTTCTGTTTATTCAAAGTATGGGCCTGATACATTGTAGGTTCCATCGTTTGACTGGTTTTATCCATAGAGAACTATTTAGAAGAATTTTACTTCTACAAAGCTGACTTCTTTTATTAAGTCAGGTACTAGAATGTAGCACGTAAATAATAAAGAGAAATTCTTATTTTTTTTCAACATATTCTAGAATAAATTATTTCACATTTTGGAAATAATTAAGTAGTCATTTTCACTAAAAAAGATGATGTTAATATCCATTACTCATAAAATCCACAAACAATGCATTATGCCAAATATATTTTTCTAAATTTTCACATAAGAGTCTTTAGGTGACCATGGATTCACACATTGTACTCTTCACTTAGGTAAATTTTTAGTCTTTGCCCTAATGTTGGCTGTACTTGCAATTTCAAGATTGACTATAAAATCATGTATACTTATACATTACACACAAATACACAGACTTATTACATATAGTATATAATCATAAAAAGATTTAACATATGATGTTACATCTGGGAGAAAAATAAGAATCATTCCCATTTTATAGATAGAGGTATGGAGGACAGATAGATTAATTTTCTAAAATAATAGAGTAGTTTAGTGTGAAATAGTTTAGGATTTTCCCCCAGTATGGAAATCTAGGGAGTATAGTGAAAGAATATGGACTTAGTAGCTAGAGATGTAGGTTTGTATGCCAGCCGTACCACACACTGTTAAGTGAAGTTGAGCAGGTTACATACTCTCTCTGGACCTCAATGTATTTATCTGTAATGTGGGTATATAACTGATTGAGGGATGCTGTGAGGAATAGATGAAAGCCTCTGCACATGGCGGAAGCTATAGACATGGTGACACTTTAAGATGACATGAAACAAATGATCACACATTCCCAGAAGGACAAACTGTAGGAGTCTATTTCTGAGGAATATTCTGAAGCAAGGAAATAGTGGAAAAGGAATTACATTTTCCTATGAAGAATCCATATTGCACATATCACATATAGTTTATGCACCACTATTGCAATATTTTAAATTGATTTTTAGAGAGAGAGAGGAAGGGAGAGAGAGAGAAACATCGATTTGTTGTTCCACTTATTTATGCATTCATTGGTAGATTCTCCTATGTGCCCTGACCTGGGATCAAACCCGCAACCTTGGCATACTGGGAAGACACTCTAACCAACTGAGCCACCTGACCAGGAGGCTCTTGCACAAAAATAGACTTGCTGGGGCTTTAGCACAGGGTGAAAATTTCACTACCCGCTCCCTGGGAGCCAGGCATCTCCCCGCTTCACATCTCAGAGGAAATTCTACTACAGTTGACTTGGTGGCTCGTTAATGTCAGGGGGACACAGGGAAACTCGAGGGACTTGGACCAAATCTTTAGTGTATTTATGTCCATAATAAATCTCGGTCAGCAGCCACAAGGAGGTGGGAACGTGATTCTACAATTACAGTAATTTACTGTTAATTTCATAAAAACACAATGGAGGAATAAAGAACATTCGATTTATATAGTGAGTATTCTTAGTGCGTAATAATGGCCACGGACACATTTTTTTGTAAAGGCCATGTTAAATCTGATTTAAAAATATTTTTAAACATCTAAAACAAAGCCCTAAGGCATAATCATATTTTGTTGTAAGCATAAAGTTAATTTCTTGCTTAAAAATTCTTTCAATTCATATGATCTGCGGGCGAGTATTGTATTGATAGAGTTTCGAGTTAAAATTCAATGCCTGTTTTCATGAAATTATATAAGCAGAAAACCTCGCCATGTAAAAGTTCTATATCATTTACCATTTTAAAACAGTAATTTTTTTATCTTTTCACCCACTCGAGTTTGCGTAATCTTAACATTTAAATTTAAGATTAACATTTGGAGAAAGACCAAGAGAACAAAATATGGAGGATAATTATATCATACCTTAATAATCCTTAAAGTCCCCACATTTGTTCTTTCATTCATTTCTATGTCAAACCAGTTCCCCTCATTTCCAGAGATGAAGAAAATGACAGCCATCCAGTTAGCGGAGAACTCCTCGTCCAAGTCAATGACTCTGAGTTGGAGCAAATTTGAGTTCAGAGAGTTTTCTTCGATCTCTAGTTTATACTGAAAGGAGAAGCAAGAAGCCTTAGCACACACTGTGAGGGAGAGAATGACACTAGACTTACCCTGAGTGTCTACAGTTACTCATGATTTAGGAAGGGGATCTATGTTTAATGTCTCTCTTTTCGTTGTTCAAATACGTGGCCCCTGTGCATTACATACATAAGCACAGACAAAGGGCATGTCTGCCTTGGGGTTGTATGTGACTAAGGAAAACACAGACGTCTGTAAAGAGGATTGTCCAAACACATTTTGGCATGTGATGAACTGAAAGTCATTCCTTTCGAAGACGAGTACTTACCGAAGACCCTTCCAGGTATGGGATGTTGTCATTGACATCGAGGATTTTAATGCTGCATTCGCAGTCTGCTGACATGCCATCTGCCCCGCCGTCTCGGTCTGAGCCTCTTACAGCAAGAGAATATTGGCTGTATTGCTACAAACACACATGACAGACAATATCACAGTTGACATCGTCCTTATTCTGACTCATGCAGAGTTCTTTTAAAATGCTGGCTCATGATTTACATAAATCTATGGTGGTGATAAGGGTACCACCGCTCATTGAAAATTCATATATCTCACATGAATCAATATGAAAGACACCACGTCGAGTCCCCAAAATGCTTCTTCAGCCTCATGGAAAAGAAGCAACATTCTTTAAAAGTCTCATTCCTTGTATTTTTGCTCAGAATTTGAAAACGTTTATAAAGGGCAAATTGGGTCGAAACGCCCAGGAGGGAAGACTTGAAAGTTTACCAAGAATTTTGGCATGACAATTCCATACCTTTCATAACCAGCCCCTGAGTGTGCAAGAATAAAGAGGCCCAGATGGTTTGCATTTCTGGGGGCGGCAGGTTGTGGCAGTGGAATTATGGATGTTCTAGCTCAGTTGTTCTCAACCTTCTGGTCCTTTAAATACAGTTCCTCATGTTGTGACCCAACCATAAAATTATTTTCGTTGCTACTTCATAACTGTAATGTGGCTACTGTTATGAATTGTCATGTAAATATCTGGTATGCAGGATGGTCTTAGGCGACCCCTGTGAAAGGGTCGTTCGACCGCCAAAGGAGTCGCGACCCACAGGTTGAGAACCGCTGTGATCTAGCTCCTTGATTCTACTCAATGGTGCTTACATTTCCAGAAGCCGGTAAAAGCTATGACCCCTTTTCCAGACACAAGCACATTTGCATTCTCATTTAAAACTGTGATGCGATCTTGGAGGCTTCATAGTTAGAGACATCTTGAGGTCTCTCCATGGACGCCTTGTTAAGAATATCTGGAGTTTTTCCCTTTACTGTTGAGAGCTCTCCACTGCTAAAACGCTAGATACATGAAAGGAGTTTCATTGGGTTCTTTAAGAAAGTTTAAGAAAGAGCTAAGTAGTCAATTTCTTCTGATGGTAACTTTCAAACAAGTATAAAAAGAGAGGTAGGTAACCTAGAAACTGATGGCATTTAGATAATCAAAGAGTGTAGAAATATCCTGATTTATCCTAAATTCCAGGTCGTCAATAGGAGTTTGTCATTATTAAATAACTATAATTATTAGAATAAAATTTAATTGAGTAGTAATTAGAAAATAACACTTTCTCATGCATATACTTATAGTACATGCAGGTTAGCTATATTCTATTTTAAAATAATGAAAAATTGATATTTTTACATTCAGTTATGGGACCACATGGCATGATGGAAACCATGTAATGCTGATTCTAATTTGGTAACACTCACTAATTGTTTTCTTATTCATAAATGAAAAGATTGATCTGGAAGTTATATAATTTCTATCTATCATTCTGTTCCTTTGATTCATTTCCCAGAGTAATCAATGGGTTGTCAGCAGCTGCAGCATAGGAAGAAAACAAAGATTTCTGTTGTCAAATGAGCTTAGGATGCACCAGGTTAAAGAGAGAGAAACGAGTTTCTGAGCCTGTAACACTCTTGGAGCCTCGACCATGTTTGCATGTACTGTGACTCACCAAGACGGGGGCTAGAAGAGCCAGTGTCTTTTACATTTATTTCACTAGAGAACTCACTTTTTTCATAAAATGGAGCTTTTGCCTCTACTTCTATGCATATTTTTATGTACTCTCAGAATGTAGTTTTCTCAATTTAAGGCAAATCCTAAGTAAGATTAAATGAAAGACAAGAATATAAAATGTATGTGAGGAATCCCCGTATTTTCATTTTAAAGATATTTTTTATGTCACTACCATTATGTGAAAAGGTTATGTAACTAAATTTTTTAAATATAGTTTCCTTTTTTTTCTTACTTAGGTACTCTTGCTTTTAGATTCAGTTCCTATGAACTAACAATCCATTCGAAGAAAAAGAAATTACCTCTCTGTCTAGAAAATTATTCATTGTCCGAATTTCTCCAGTGTATCTGTTGATAATAAACATGGGTGAATCAGAAGGTTCCTGGCTGATGATCTTAAAGGCGATTTTTGAGTTCAAATTATTGGGTTCGTCTGCATCAGTAGCATTGAGTCTCATCACCAGCGTATCTAGAAATCAAGGAGAAAGGATTGCAAATGGACAGTTTGTATGTATTTTTCTTATTGTTTATAATTACTTTTCCAAGAAGAGGTTAGGTTAGTTGGTTCATATAATGTGCACTCTACCATTTTTGTTTTCTACTTCTTCGACATATTCATATCTTAGCTCCTTTCTTTACCTTTACATTGAGAAAAAGATCACATTTGACCAAGAACCTAGATATTACTGGTAGTTAGAAAACAATGAAATGTTTTATTCTGCCTTTCCATTTCTTATTCTAGTATAATGATTTCTTTTTACGGCTTTTGCGGTGAAACAACATGACATTAAGGCCAGACTAACTGTTTCTCAACTATACAGCACTTTCTAGTGAAAGAAGGGGAAGAAGCAGTATGAATGACAGTGGATGGGATTGCCCTTCAGAGCAGTCGGCTGGGAGGCTCCATTCTCTTCCCAGGGCCCCTGCCCCACTGTGCTAAGTCCTTCTGGAATGTTCCCTTAGGAATCTACTACAGAGCTGGTATGAGAGTCACAAGAGAAAATTCCTCTCGTGGTTTTGGAGCTGCTTGTTGCGTGTGAGCAACCGAAGCTGCTTTCGCAGTGGAAGGGAAAACCTTTAGGGAGACTTCCTCATGCCTGTCTTCTGCTTGCTTTTCTAGAATTGCCTCTTACATTGGTGATGTGGTACATTGACATAATTTAGCTTCTAGCGGACTGGCTGTTAAGAATGATCTGGAAGCCCGTATAGTCTTGTTTACTTCAGAAAGTTGACTACTTACTTGCGTTAGAGTTTTCTTCTATTTGTCCTAGGAAACTAGACATAGAAAATACTGGCGGGTTGTCATTTATATCCAAAACTCGAACTCGGAGCTCCAGGGGCCTCTCTAAATCTTGGCCCTGTAAGTTCAGAGCCCGGCAGTAGATCTAGAAGGAAAAAAAAAGAGGAATAATTATATGATGCGACAAATATTGAGTTTTTACTTTGTTTGGACGCTCTACTAGGCGCTGTGCCACTAAAAGAAAAATAAGACTTTATTTCCTACTGGAGTGTAAGCACAAGCAGTACTTATAATCAATAAGGGAGGCACACATGTACTCAAAATACCACTTAAGAAAAGGTAACATGATCAGTTACAAAAGGATGAGCAACCAGAGTATGACATCATAGGGGATGTAATGACTGAGATCAATCTTAAAAGAGGTTTTCAAGCTGGAGATTGGCAGGGTGTTCCCAGCAAAAGGATCATTAAGAGAAGAAGCTTTGTTTGAAATTAGGAATAGGGGCTATGGGGGGCGGGGGCTGGGGTTGAGACTGTGGTAAAGGAGAGTCATGTGGGGTCTTCCAAGAAATAGAGCATTCATAAGCTCGGAGGGGGCTGTGGGAGTGTTTGTGCTATTGTTATTATCACCAGATGTGATAATAACAATAATTTAATGTATGCTATTTTACCTATTTTGGTATATTTCATTTAAAAACCCATTATGCTTTAACCAAAGCTAATAGGCTGGCATGCTGATTTAGAGAGTTTTTGGGAAAACATTGTGGGAAATAAGGCAGGAATATATATTTGGAATAGAAGACTAAGGAATTAAAATAGTCTTAGGAATACAGATAAGCAGTATGAGTGAAAGCAGCAAACATAGATGACTATTTGAAGGTATTTTTGGATATGGATTGATAGTGTTTTAATAGAAGAGGTTACAAGATCCAGACAGGTTGTCCTTTATTTTTTAAAAGTTTTATTTATTGATTTTAGAGAGATAGAGGAAGGAAGGAAGAGAGAGAGAGTCCTGACTAGGGATGGAACCTGCAATCCTTGGTATATATCGGGATGATGCCTAGCCAACTAAGCTACCCAGCCAGCGCCTATTTCTTTATTTTTAATTTTAAGTATTAACAAGTGTTGACCATGATGGGAGTAACTCACAGGACAGCAGAAGAGACATGGAAAAGGAAAGTTGGTACAAGAAGGTTCTTGAAGAACTAGGTAATGGGACAATGGGAACTCTTGAGATATATTGGAGAAAACAGAAAATGCATCTTGCTTTTGGAACATTTCTGAGCAGGCGGAGGGAATTAGTTGTAAGAGTTTTTGGTGAAGAGCCTCAGATTTTTATGATGAAGTTGGTCATGAGGTCAGCTGCTTAAAATAGAAATGAGTTAAGGGTTCGAAGAGTAAGCACTTACACTTTGTCACAGCTAGTAGAGAATAGAGTAAGATTCAGGTAAGGAGAAACTGAAGTCTTCCCAAGGCACATTCTGTGCTCCGGGGAGCTTGAGCAATTTGCATTTATACTCAAGTATGCTCACTCAGGAAAGGCTCCCGTGGAACCTACAGGATCACCCCTAGGCACCGGAGCTAGAGGAGACCAACATTCTCAACTAATTAAAGACAAAGAAGTAAACGTTGAGTACTTTCCCTTCCAGCAAATGCTCTAGCTTGCCAGTGGGGCCAGACCGAGGCTGGTGTTTTCGCTGAGGAGCTCATGCGAGACACCCCTTTGTCTCTCAGTCTTCCCTGTGTGTCTCTGGGTCATAGTTGCTCATGAATTAAGAGACAACCAAAAAGCGCCTAATACTGAGACTCTTGAATCAAATCAAGTATGATCTGAGCTCAAGATATTCTCCAAATAATTTAGGCCTGAACATATATATTGACACGGCACCCACTTACGATGAAAAACGGGGTGACTTCTCGGTCAACTATGGATGTTATGTTAATTTCACCAGTTTTTTGGTTAATAACGAAGATTCCAAAAGGTGGTTGATCAATTCCTACTCCAGAGATGCGGTAGGTAACTTGCTGGTTTGCAGCACAATCTGAATGAATCTGCAGAAAGAGCACAAGTGAAATTATTACAGGATGCAAAAAAAAAATCTATGTTTCATATGTAATAGCTGTCTTTTTTTAGAGTTATTGAATGTCCTGATATCCCAGTTATTTGGGAGGAAATTCTGGAAGTAGAGAATTATTTTCCTAGATAGTGGAATAGTTACAGTGCTAGTATTTTTCAGTGATAACTGATAATGTAATAGAAGAAATTCAATTGTGTTTTTACCAAATAATAAAAAAGTAAAATATCACCCTAATATATCTAAGTCTATGCAATCATCATTCATGAATGCATTCATTCATTCATTCATTCATTCATTCAACATTGTTAGTTTGATGGTATTATTTTCAGGCTCTGTGCTGGTATTAGTCTAGAGTAGGGAACTCCTTGCCCTCTTGAGGAGTTGGCCAGTGTTGTCATTATATAACCTTGATCTTCCATTTCAAATGTGAAGATTGAGGTGGACCTAGGTAGGTAACAAAAGATACCTGACTACATGTAAAAGCTCTTAATTCTGAAATTGGGGAGGTAGTATTAGCAGAAAAGTAAAGAGACCACCCCAAAAAAATGGTTGCAGAAACCAGGACTCTGTTCATTGAAATAAAATATTGTATGGGGAGTGTCTCTGTGTGTATCTAAGTGAAAGTGTTATGTTTTCTGTGTAGGGATATATATTTGTACATGAGTGAATCTGTGTGTGGGTTTGTGTTTCTGAATGTGCCTCTGTGTGTGTGTGTGTGTGTGTGTATAATGACATGAAAGGGAAAGTGAAAGGAGAAAGATTTTTTGAAAAAAGGTACATTGTGAATGTTCATAAAGAAGCCAAAAGTAGGAATTTAATTCGAACAGATTGTGAGGTAGAGAGAGCACATGTTGAAATTGTTCCTGTAAATATGATGAGTGGTAACGCACTATATTTTTAAAATCCAGAGTCTGGGGTAACACATGATTGTGTGTGTTAATTTCACCAGTAAGGTGAGTCCGTATTTAACCGTTTACATGAGTGCCTACATTTCTTAATTTATCTCTTTAATGGCTTCAACTTTCATGATCTGAATGACTATTATTCTGTTTTATATCATGACTTCTCAGTCAGATATGTTCTTAAACTATGTAAAGGGCAGGTTCTTTTGAAACTTTAACATCATCCATTTTGATTGTCGAGTTGCTGTTTTGGGGGTTGAGACTTACTTTGGCGATTGGGTTCCTCTTTGAGTTGTCTTCGCCTTCACGGCAGGCTGCAGCAAACTTGATCCACTCGCGCTTGTGCCTCCTGATGGAGTGCCACTTGATGGTGCCATTCTTAGCGTTATAATCTCTGACCTTGAACGGGCAGGGGAAAGTAATGGTACCTTATTAATTTTTATTCAGAATTCACGTTCCACTAAAGAATCTGTGGGAGGGGTCATTGTAATGTCAGAAAGGGTGCTTCTTTGGGAAGATTGATAATTTTGATAATCTGTAATTTTAGCATAACATTAACTTTACTTATAAGGATGATTTTTTTTTTTTGTGGGTGGGGGGGTGAGGCACAGGGATATGTTGTTACTCCTAAATCATTTTCTTTGCTTTTAATTTGAAAAAGTAAATTTGCTATATGTTACCTGGATTCGAAATTCACTGTTAGTTACCTGGATTTGCTATATGTTACCTGGATTCGAAATTCACTGTTAACTTCCACCAACACCTATAAAAAAATAAGATAAACACAATAGTTAATTTTTAACTAAATGCTTTACAATTTATGTTATCAAATCATTAAAAAGTCAAATTCGCGTCATTAAAATTATTTCCTGTCTGGATAGCAGGTGGACCGGCTTATCTCTCAGGTCTGATAATGACCTTAAGGATTCTTTTCCTTTTGGTTTTTACTTTTCAATTTTGCTCTTCTTTTTTAGTTACTTTTATTTTTAACCTCTTTTTTTTTAAAAAAAAAAATTCTATCCTATGCAGATACTTGTAATCATATGAGCTAGGACATTTGAAGCTATAAGCCAGTGGGAATGAGGGTTGGAAACTTGGGTTCTCTTCTTGTGCCTGAAGAGCTGGAGATCAGGGGTCCTCAAACTATGGCCTGCGGGCCACATGCAAATACAAATATTGTATTTGTTCCCGTTTTGTTTTTTCACTTCAAAATAAGATATGTGCAGTGTGCATAGGAATTTGTTCATAGTTGTTTTTTTTTTAAACTATAGTCCGGCCCTCCAACGGTCTGAAGGACAGTGAACTGGCCCCCTGTTTAAAAAGTTTGAGGACCCCTGGCTGGAGATGTTCAACAATAAGTTATGATACTGAAAGTTTTGACTACAGTTTTAGCATCTGAGTGGTCACAGGTGGAAATAGGAAAAAAATGTTTTGGGGTGAAGAAAGAATACGAAGCAGAAAATATCCAGAGAGCTTCCAAAATAGTTGCTTCTTCACATTCCAATTCTAAATGGATGCTTTTCTATTATTCTTGAAAATCTTAAGATGGTAAGTTTTGTACTTGCTTGGAAAAATGAGACTATAAAGTTCCAAAATAAAAGCAAATAATTTTCTCTGTGTAAAAAATGAGCTCATGTTTGATGTTTTACTGTTTGCACTAGACACAATAGATGATGTGAGTGCGTCTTTCCATGGAAGGAGAGGAATTTCAGGAGTGTGGGGCAAATTGCTGGGCAGACAGCTTCCATCTGTCTTTCCTTCTGCATCAGTAAAGCAAGTCAAGCAGAGGCTGCAGGTCCAGCTCAGTCTGGCTTTGATCTTTATGAATGATTTGTAGAGTTAAAACAGGGTCATTTAACTTATTTTTTCCTAAACACCAAAGGCATTTCTAAAAACACAAATACTTATGTAATACATTTAATATATCAACACTAGAGGCCCGGGGCACAAAACTTTGTGCACTCGTGGGGGAGCGGGGGGTCCCTCAGCCTGGCCTGTGCCCTCTCGCAGTCTGGGACACCTCGAGGGATGTCCACCCGCTGGCTTAGGCCTGCTCCCTGGGGGATCGGGCCTAAGCTGGCAGACATCCCTCTGGCAGCCCGGGAGCCCTCAAGGGATGTCTACTTGCCAGTGGGGAGCAGGCCTAAGCTGCAGTTGGACATCCTTAGCGCTGCTGAGGAGGCGGGAGAAGCTCCCACCACCACCACTGTACTGGCAGCCGTCAGCCTGGCTTGTGGTTGAGCAGAACTCCCCCTGTGGGAGCGCACTGACCACCAGGGGGCAGCTCCTGCATTGAGCGTCTGCCCCCTGGTGGTCAGTGTGTGTCATAGTGACCAGTCATTCCCAGTCGTTCTGCTGTTAGGGTCAATTTGCATATTACCCTTTTATTATATAGGATAGAGGCCTGGTGCACAGGTGGGGGCTGGCTGGTTTGCCCTAAAGGGTGTCCCGGATATGAGTGGGGGTCCCTACTGGGGTGCCTGGCCAGTCTGGGTGAGGGGCTGAGGGCCATTTTCAGGCCGGCCAAGCCCCCCGGCAACAGAAGCTTCCAGCCTCTCCTCTTTTCCTTTTTTTTTATTCTGGGATTTATTTACCTTCTGTAATTGAAACTTTGTAGTCTTGAGAGAAGCTCAGAGCCCGCCAGGGCGGCCAGGAGGGAAGCTTGGCTTCCTCCATCACCAGGGGCAACCAAGCCTCCTGTTCGCTCCAGCTCCGTGGCCACGGCCAGCTGAAGGCAGGTATCTGGGGTTTGTCTTTTATTAGATTAGATACTTAAGACATTGTAAATATCTAAAAATTAGGTGTGAATTTGAAGGCTAGTTTGCATTTATTAAGTTCTAAATTGCACTTAGAATTAGTAAATGCAGTGTGAATCTTTAGTTTGTATTTCTGCCTAAAGAGGACATTTTTAACTTCTCCTTGAACTTTTGTTAGACTTGCAAAGTATGAAAATTGTTACTTCAAACAGGCTTTATCTGTGTTACTAATAAAATAAAATTATGGTTTGTATTTTAAAAAATACTGACACATAATAGTAATTTCAAAATAGAGTAAATTACTTTTTATAGTGAATTTTAATTTCACCATTAAGCTAAAAATAAAATTTTAGTGTTTATGTACATTTTTAAAAATCACCATAATTCATAATTCAAGAAACTTTATATTATGGTTAATATGAGTAGTTTAAAATGATAATATTTTTATTATAGGAGTTACATACTCATGGTATATATTTAATGTTAGTCATGATCATTATCACCATAACAATTCCCTAAATGATAACTAAATACTAGACAACATGTTTAGAGAAACCCATGCATTTCATCTTCACAAGTACATGTGGTCAATACTATAATTATCTTCACTTTACAGATGAGGAAATTGAGGTTTCCATATTAATTTATGGCTAAATACAATCCAATACAATTCAGTCTAAATTTGTGCTTGAGGTGTGGGTTTTACAATTAAGTGCAAGATAGCCTATTTCACATAAATTACTAAATCAAATATACTACAGATGACTGACATTACAATTTTGAGAATTCAAAAAAAATCCTGATTTTAATCTCATATTATCCTTGTGATTAGGAATCTAATCTCATATTATACACAATAATAACAATAATAATAGTAATACTGGGGTGTGTGTGTGTGTAAGAAAAGGAAATGGCCCACATGGTTGGAGAAGGACCTGAAATGGTATTGTAGAATCCGACTTGGGTGCGGAAATGAACCCATGTTAATGCAGCTGTGTGCTTCTTGCTACCGTGAACTCATGAGCACTTGGTCCTCTCGTTTGTGGGTGTTGGGTGGGGGTGCGAGGCTCCCTTATTTGTCTGCCATTTCTTCATAGCTGCAGATTGGGTATTCACCTGTTATCTTTCTGGCACTTCCTCACCGCATGAAGTGTCAGGGCCACTGTTTGCTTTGGAGAACTAGCCCGATGACGATGACTAACCTTCTGACTTTACGAAGCTGGGTCATTATTTTTCCCATGAGAGGCAACTTGGGCAGAAGACCAAGCAGGTTTCACCATACAGTCAGGCTCTTAATTAGATTGGTAATTAAAAAACTGCCAGGTCTGCTTAAAAATATGTTGTGTGGACATAACCAGATTGCCTTTTGCTCAGGCTAAAATAATCTCTGAAACAAAGTCACTCTTTGACTTTGAAAGGCAAAATAACGAGGTAAAAAGAGCATTTGGTACAGTCAGAAACATTTCAATGCACTTCCTAAATTCTCTGAGCTGCAGTTTTCTCATTCATAAAATGACAGGAGTTGCCTGGATTATAAACAGTTACCTTTTGAATTCTAACACCAATTCCCTGTGTGCAATAGGAAAACATTGAAGTTTCTTGCTCATGGGAAATGGATGATAAAATTGTGAATTTAAAAGATGACCGACAGCAATTGAGGGAGGCAGTGGGAAGAGGCAGCGATTACAGGCCAGGAGCAGTTGAGTTTCTGCATCAAGTCAGTCCAGGGATGAGAAGCAGCAGTGGCAGTGGGAAGAGACTGGGAGAGATCAAAGGAGAGATACTGCTTGATTGAAATGCAAGGGGTTTGAGAAAAGGTGGGATGTGGGCGTGAAGAGAGGGAAGAATCTCAGGCGGTGTCAGTTGTAAACCTGGAGATCAGGAACGAGGCAGAAGCAGGATTTGGCAGGTTAGAACAAACCTAGATGCTAGAGATATGCCCAGTGAAAATGTTCAGCGATTGAAATATGTGTTAGCACCATGAACAATAGTTCGGGTCTGATACACAGATTTGAGAGACACCTGCTCAGGTAAGATGGTTTAAATCGGGGGAGAGTTTGAGATCCCTCAAGTAGAGAATACAGCAAAGCAACAGCCTGTGGCTGAGGATGAAACCAGGGGAATTCCTATATTTATGTAACTGGGAACCATGACAACAAACAAGAAACAGCAAGAGGTAGAAAAGAAGTGGCCAACGAAATAGGAGGAAAATATAATGCAATGCCATGGTTGTCAAAGGAAGGGAGAACTGAAAGACACATATAGTGTGAACATGTGTCCGATGATATAAAAAAAAAAGTGAGCAGAGTGAATCCTGAGAAAATCCTGAGGTTTTCTGTGACCTTCAGGAGTTCTGTGACCTTTAGGAGAATGCCTTCAGTTGGATGGAGCAAGCTCTCCCTGACTGACAAGGTAGAGAAGAGGACATAAGGTGCCACCTTTATTGGGAGAAATTTGGTGGTCTAAGGAAATAGAAGCAATAGCAGAATTAGACGGTGTCCATGGAGCTATTTGGGGAGAGGGAGATGCGGATTTTTGAAGGTCGAGAAAGGGGAGAGTCGGAGATTTTGAGCTGAAGCAGGAAAGATTGAGAAAGTACTGGCTGGAGGTATTGTGGTGACCAGGAGGGGATCAGCAGAAAGAAAGGGCTCTGAAGACAGAGGGTGGGGAAGAGTGAAGAGATGGAGATTAAAATCAATGGATTAGGAGAGGGAAATTGAAGGGCATCATACTGGAGGATCCAGACCCTGTCCCTGGAGTAAGGGCGAGGTTATTTTTCTGGTGATCGGGGAGTAGTTTGGATTCTGAAATAACTTGGGAATACGTTCTGAGGAGGCTGTGAGGGAGATTCACTTAGAGATGAATACAGGGTTGTCAAGCTTACTGAGCACATCTCAGCTCTCTTACCCCCTGGATATGGGCCTTGGGGTAAGTCACTTAGCCATTCTGTGCCTCAGTTTCCTCATTTGTATATGAGATTAAAGCCTTTTTTTTAATCCCCAAATTC